TTATTGAAAGCTCATTTTAGTTTGCACTTGAGATTAATTTCTTTCATGGATTTAAGGGAAAATGTGAATGAGAGTAAGTTTATTGTGTTTGGTAGATGACTAAATGACCCCCTTTTTTTTTTTGGTAACAAGGGCTTTTCATGTTTTAAAGACGATGGCTGTTCTATATTCTCATTTCAGTTTTGCACCGGACTGGCCCTAAATAAATAGGAGCTCTGCGTTTTTTTTTGAATTTTATTTAAATATAATTTTCTTACATAGAAAAAAGTATTGCATACTTCAATGATTCCAAAGCTTAAATCCATAGTTTTGTGTTGAATTTACCTTGCAGAGAGGTTAATACACTGTGAAATGCATCTCGTACTTGACTCTCTTCTACCAGTACAAGTTATTATTGGACTTAATTTCAAATGTTCATAAAATCCCTAACAGAATTTTCAAGTTGATCATGTACGTCATCAAACAGCGAATACAAAGTCAAAACTAAACTAGGTAATATAGTTTGTCCGAATCTCTTATATTCACAAAAATAAATGTAGAAAGGGATTAAAGCAATGAATAAAAAATTAGACTAAACCGGCCGGTTCAACTGTAAAAACTGATGAACCGGCTAGTGGTCTAGTTCAGTTTAAGTGCTGAATTGGCAATAAATATAGCCAGTATAGAATTGGTTAAATTGGGGTGAATCAGTGAAAATTGTTGTAAACTTTTAATAAATAGGTTTGGATGATTATGTTGCTATTGGTTCTATTTTTTCTCATTCAACTCATAATATCTCAATTACTATATATTTGAATGAATTTTAATAATGGTTTAGTATCAATAATTATTAATTTTAGTTATTGAGAAATTGTAAAGATCAAAATTTTCAACATTATTGTATTTTGTTATTGTTATGATCAAACTATTATTGTATTTTATTATTAGTGATTATTAATATTGTATTTTGTTACTTTCAATTAAATTATATTATTTTAATATGACTAGCTTGATCTTGAGTTAACTCGGGTTTGACTCACTAACTATTGAACCACTACCTCAACCAATTTAACCATTTTAGTATCCGCTCCAATATTTTGTTCCTTGAATTAAAGATAGGTTTTGACCAGATTGAAAGTAGCTCGGATCAAGGACTTAGCTAATTTATTGCATTATAGCCTAGATTATTTTTGTACCTTTAATCAATCGTTACCATGAATATTAGAGACGTGGAGTATGATGAAAGGTATGGTATTCTGATTTTTGTATTGGTATTTCAGGTGAAAAAAAATGGTATTTATATTCTGATACATTGTTGATTTAAAGAAGAAAATAATAAATAGCCATTTTTCATTGAGTTTTAAATAAGCTGAGCAAATTTTAGCCTTGATTTGACTCAATCCTTGTATCATCCAAAATGAATTATCCTATATAATAATAATAACAAGTCTTATCTCACTAGATAGAGTTGGCTACATGAATCATACGTTATCATTGTACTTTATCAATAACAGAACTTTTGGTAAAGTTAACCAAAAGGCTTAATCAATAATTTCATCAAGCGTTCTTGTTAGTCCTCTTTAATCCCTTTTTAAAAGACTCAGTATAATCTGATTCACCCTTCTCACACTGCCGCTTTCAATGGCTTGTACATGTATAAACTATCTCACGTGGTTTTCTACTATTTTCTCTTCAAGACGCACAAAACACTAACTCTTCTTTATATAATGTTCATTACGAATATTAGTTACCTCTCTCATCTTACCACACTTTTGTTTGAGCATTCTCACCTTTGCTCCCCAATTTTAATTCACACTCAAGTTGTCCTTCTAAAGCCCAACATTTATCACTATATTAGAAATGTAATATCCTATGCATCAACCAAAATGCATAACCTTCTAAAACCAATTAAACTATTAAATTGTTTCTCACGTGCCATTTGTTAAAATTCCATTTTGATACGGCTAAGTAATTTCCCCTTATTTCAGATTTTTAGCCGACCGATAGAAGCAAAATCCATAAATGATTTAAGACTTCCAGATAGTCAAGGCATAGCTATAATAGCGATTGAAAATACAGGGAATTTGTGACCACGGGATAGGGATATGCTTAAAAATAGTCAAAGCATAGGGATATGCTTAAAAATTTTAAACTGTAAGAACTTTCTTAAAAATTAATGTAAATTATAGGGACCAACAAATTAATTTTTCTTAAATTTCACAATATCAAATATTTTAATAAGAAATTCGTCAATTTAAAAGTCGCTAACATTAATGTCAATATCGGGATCATCAATGTCAGTACTTGCTTTTTTGTTAATTCTTTTCCTACAATCTGATACTTTTTAGTCCAAACCTTAGTCAAAACCGACCTAGTTTGAACCAAGCAAAAACCAATAAAATCAGTAAGGGCTTACTGGCCCAAAAAAAAAAAAAGATAATAAGGGATTGTTTATTTCAATTTATCAAATTTCTTGACCGGTCAATTTTTTAGAGAGTACTAGCTCCCATCCTAATCCTAATTAAATGTGAGAGCTAGTTAGAAATTCAATTTGATTCTAATTAATAAAGATCTTAGTTCATTTTGTCTATTATATTTATTTATATATTTTTAAAATAGTTTCTATAATAATTATACATGTTAAATGGTTTCTATTCTAATATACGTGATTAATGAGGATATTTTAGAGAACACAACACTTATTTATTACAAATAATTAACTTAACTAATTTCTTTAATATCTACAAATTGGATATCTAACTCTTATATTAAGAGTCGTAGTAGATCCAGAAAAACGGGCTGAGCTCGTCAGGCCAGGCTTGAAATTTTTCCCTCAAATGAGAAATAAGCCTTGGAGGGTTGAAGGCTACCCTGTTTAGGCCTTTTTATAATTGTTTTTTTTTTAATTTTTTATATAATTCTAATATTATTAAATTTTTATATTGTTAATAATATTTCAAATATCTAGTTATTATTATCATTTTAAAATTAAATTTTACAGAATGATTTGATTTATTTAGTTTTAGACAATAATTTATCCAATTAAATTTTTAAAAAATGATTAATTTGGACTTTAATAATGATTTGATTTATATTATATGTGTTGATATTTTTAAACTATATATATTTGATAATAGACTTTTTTTTTGGGTAAGATGATAATAGAGTATTTTTATACTTATATAACTTGTGATTCTATAGTTTGAATTAGAAATTCATAAGTTTCAACAACAATGTTTCTCACATTAAAGTAAAATAATAGCTAGATTGCAAAATTTAAAAGTAAAATTCCTATAAAGAAGAAAAACTTGATATTTTCGTTACGAAAGAAAAGCATACTTATGAAGAAGAGTAATTGATTATAGTGATGATGAAGTTTTAAAAGATTAATGATAGTGTTTATTTATTATATAATTACACTATAGATAAAACTTTTGGATGTTGTTATCTTATTAATGAATGTTTTAGATGTTCTTGGATGTTGATAGATATTTATATATGATGATATTTTGTATTTATGACTGAATTTTATTCATATTTATGTCTTTTATTAACAATTTAATGGTTTATTTTTATTGTTTTAATAAAAAATATGAGAAATATAAAAAATAGTATTTTTTTTAAATGGGTCAAAAGCCCGCGGGGCGGTCATGAGCCTGTTAGCATAAGGGCCGACCCTAGCAAATTAGAGTATTTTTGAAATTTCGACTCTGGAGGACCGGCCTTTTTAAACCCGCCAGCCATGAAAGGCCAGCCCTGATTCCCACCTCTAAGTCGAAGGTAGTATTTCCTTTTGTTTTAGAAATTGAACGACGCATACATATTGCTTGTTTCATCACTTTATAATATTCACGAAGTTCAATTTTTAATCATGATACCAAAAAGTACTATATTTAAGCTTGAGAGTAGAAGTTTAAAAATATGTAACAAATATTTATTTGAGTTTTATCAATAGATGTGATAACTCTAGTGCAACGGGTTATGCCTGTCTAAACACGTAGTCAAATATCAATACAAAAAACCTCTTCATGAGAGAGCTATCTTCTTTTTCATGCCAACAATATATTTTGATTCAATGGCATTGAATATCATCACGCAGACCTGACATCCAACCAAGTGACATAATGTGAGGTAGTGCATTTAAACAGTCTATTATTCAAAAGAAGATTTCCCTTTACCACAAAAAAAAAAAAAAAAAAAAAAACCTCGGGGACCAAGATCCTCCAACTCCTATGAGAGGGTAGACCTGCCTAACAATTTTTTGTCTTCATTACATGCCTTACATTTTTTTAGGTAAACCGAACTAACATTAATGTATGTTAACTTCATCTTTTAAAAAATATGGAGGAGAGTCCAATAGACATTTTTTGGATTTGGTAATAACTCTATATCACATATTTTAACATATAAAATTAAGAAAAAAATTAATATGAAATTCCCTATAATGTTATCTCATATTCAAATAAGTCCTTATAATTTTTATTCTTTTTATTAAATCCTTATTATAGTTTCCTCAATTATAGATATTGGCCCCTAGCTATACTCATAATTTGTTAATTTGCTAGAGAAATGGGGTTAGTATAGCTCATGGCGTAGCTCTCATTCTAAATAAGGTCAAAATCAATCAGATTATATGGATGTGATGAAGAAAGACGATTATGAAAATAATATTTTTTTATTATGTTAACAATAAATAAATGTTATTCTATCGTTTTATTTTTTTTAAAAAACTATCCTTTATTTTTTATTTGTATTACATGTTATACTTGGATAGCATTCACATTAGCCCTGGTTAATAGATTATGAACATATAGGAGCTAATGCCTATAATTGAGAAAACTGTAAAAACCCAATAAAAAGGAGGAAAAAAAATACAGGGTTTTGATTAAAAATCAGTTGAAACTATGAGGATCCATGTGTTAATTTTTCTTAAAATTAAAAAGATATCAATTTAATTTTTTTTGCCAATAATATAATAATATATCAATTTAATATTACAATATTTTAATAAGAGTTCGAACAATAGATGATGATATATCCGATGCACATTGCTAATGTACTATTATAGAAACATATAATTAATGCTGTCTTCGTCAAGTTGTTTTGGTCGAAGATAGGGTGATATAGAAGAACATAGTTTTTTCCTTAGACATACGATCCGCTAATATATGTTGGTAACGATGAAAAACATTGTCGATAATAGCTTCTCCAAAGTGGTTCACAAGCATAGATTCAGTTCCAGCCCTCATGAGTTGTGCAACTTTGTATCCATCATTGTTATTATTATTACGCTACAAAAAAATTTGTCAATTGTAACGGTTAAAATGAGACATTTCTAGCCGTTTTAACCGCAACAAATAACATTTGTAGTGGTTAACAAAACCGCTAGAAAACCAAGCGTGTAAAAAAAATTTCTAGCAGTTATGGCAACCGCTACACAGCATGGTCAAAACGCTAGACAATTTCTAGCGGTTAACCAACCACTAGAAAATGCTGAAAAGGAAAAACAATTCTAGCGGTTTTATAACCGCTAGAAAATTCTGAATCAAATCTCATTTTGTCGGGAATTAAAAATTTTCATTAGGGCGCCAACATTTCTAATGGTTAAAGAACCGCTAGAAATCTCGAGGAAATCAAATTTTGCCGGTAATTAAATTTTTGGAATGTCGCCAAAAAAATTTCTAGCGGTTTGAACCGCTAGAAATTTTGGCACAAAATTTAAATTTCACGAAATATTTGTAGCGGTTTTGAACCGTTAGAAATGTTTTCCGTGCCAGAAAAAAATTTGTGGTTTTTCATTATTAGAAAATATAATATTATAATTTTAAAAACCACTAAATAGATTATGTTGAAGAATTTTTGTTAATTTGTATAATTAGTTATGTATTACATTTTATATATTTAAATTTTGTAATAAACAATATGTAATTAAATTATGAGTGTGTCAAAAGAAGTGAATTTAATTTAATAAGATAATTGAATTGAATATTTAATAAGATAGTTGAATTGAAGATGAGATAGTTTGTAATATTGAACCTATAGTGTTAGGTTGAGGAGTATTTGAATCAGTTGAGCAGTGCATGACAAGTGTGAAGAAGAAAAATCTAAAAGAAAAGGAGAAATAAATATGTTAGTAAATTTTAAGTAAAAACAAATAAAAGATACAATGACTTATAAAATAAAATTCACTTACCATACAGTAAAGAGAAAGAAACCACCATATGAGAGAGTAAAAAAAAAAGAGAGAAATTATGAGGAAGAATAGGAGAGGAAAGAAAAGAGATGGAGTAAATGAATGTAGAGAAGATATGATATTTATAGAGATAAGTGACACATTTGTAGCGGTTTTTTTGTAGCGTTTTATTGCATTTTGTAGCTGTTAGTCATTTTCTAGCGTACACATAACCGCTAGTATTTTGTAGCGGTTATAATTTGTAGCGGTTACATAACCGCTACAAATTATAATTTTTTATAATAAATTTGTAGCGGCTATATAACCGCTACAAATTTATTATTTATTATTTTTTAAAAAGCTGTACCAATTTTAATTTATACATATGTATTTATGGACGGAAATTTTTTTTTAATAAAAAAATTTTTGGATGCTGCTATTCTCCATCATCATCCGGCCTGAAAGGACACATTTTAAAAAAAATTTGTGAGAATTATAATGTATTTAGAAAAAATTAGTAATTAGTAGTTAATTATTTAAATAATTTAAGAAAAGACGTATACCTGATAATTGGCAAATTATCATCTCCTTGAGGAAAGAAGTCTTCAAAATTGGGGGTTGGAAGGGTTCACTGTCGTAAATAATGTCACCATCACCCATATCATAAAGATCCCGTGGCTTGAGGTGAACGACCATATTCCAGTCTTTATGTTTCTTGTCCTCAACATAGTAAACTTAGTGTGCCTCAGAAGCAAGGATATATGGCTCATCATCTTCAGATGCCCTCGTATGAATAAGTCTAGAGAAATTAACTGAGGTGATGCCCAAATGGTTAGTAGCGGGTCCCTGTGAAGTTGTCGTATTTGCCCAGGAGCACTTGAACAGTGTCACGGTGAAAAGCTGGTAACTCAACTCAATAATGTCAATTAGCTTTCCATAGTAAGTGACGCCTCCAAAGCGCATATCGCCATCACTGCTGCTAGCATAACATCTTGTTCTGAATGTCCCGCAAACTCCAGAGTTTTGTGTGAGCAATCCCTGATCACGTCCAACCATACAAACTTGAAGCCGTTGACATTATACGCGGTAAACCTTTGTGCATGGTCTAACGGACCGAGAGAAAGAGCTTTGAATTCATCTGTGTATGGGCTGTTGTCATTACGTATTCGACGTGTAAACCAACTGGAAAACTCTTTTGTGGACTCTTTTATCAATGTCAGCAGAACGCGCACGCCCCCGTAGTTGACGCCTGAGGTAACTCCTAAACTCACTACAGTAAAGTGTAATTTGTTAGAAGAGTCATGAGAAACAAATATAAAGTGTAAAAGCTAGTGAGTTTATATGATATACTTACTGCATGAAGGGTTCAACTTGGCTGCAATTTATCAAAACGTGTCTGTGTGCCTGGAGTTTCTCTGTAGGAGTGAGTCTGAAGAATTCATATCCTCCAACTGGTTTCCCAACAGGAGGAAATAAAGTTGACATGGAAGGACCAGGAGGAGAATCATCTACACGATGCGGGCGGTTAAAAGATGTCTCCATGTCATCAAAGTACCTTGAACAGAAAGTTAGGACCTCATCTCTGGAATAACCTTCTGCTATTGACCCCTCAGGCCATGCCTTATTTCTAACATATGATTTTAATTTTCCCAAGTACCTGTAAGTTAAAATTGCATTAATAATTACGAGTAAATGAAAGAACAATGTGAAATTTAAAGAGGCAGGAATAAAAGATAATCTAGTACCTTTCTATAAGGTACATCCATCGATAGTGAATTGGGCCAGCAACCTTTGCTTCTCGAACAAGGTGGACAGTCAAGTGAACCATAACAGTAAAGAATGATGGAGGAAATATCATCTCTAAGTGACAAAGTGTAAGAATAATTTTATTTTGCAGCTGATCAAGCTCTTCCGCTATCAAGACCTTCGTACACAACTTCTTGAAAAATGAACATAATTCTACCAAAACCACTGATATATCAGAAGGAAGTGTGTTTTTCAAGGCCAATGGAAGTAACTGTTGCATAAGAACATGAGAGTCATGACTTTTAACCCAGTAACCTTTCAGCCTACAGATCGATACACCTTGAGATGTTGCTAGAATATCCATCTGGTACTTTTATGTTCTTCAATGTTGAGAGGAAGATATCCTTGTTCTGCTTTGTCAAGGTGAATTTAGCTGGTTGAAACTTGTCGTTTTCATCAGGCCAAGCCTCTTCACGAATTCCCCAGGCCCGTAAATCTTTTCTAGCTGTGAGATGGTCTTTGGACTTTCCAGCTTCATTGAGCAACGTATATAGCACATTATCGCACATATTTTTTTCAATGTGCATAACATCCAAACTGTGTCATAGCAAATTAGATTCCCAATAAGGAAGAGTAAAAAATATGCTTCTCTTCTGCCATTGCATAGGTTGCGTATCAGATGTCCCACAAGATCGTCGTCCCAATTGTTCGGGATCCACACTCTTATCAAACTCGACATTAACATCTTCTAACTGCCGCAAAATATCCATACTAGACAAAGTAACAGGAGGATCTCTCTTCTCCTGTTTCCCATCAAAGCGAATCCGTTGCAATCTAAGTCTGTGCTTGGAATCAAGGAACTGTCGATGTCCTATGAAGCACCACTTGCGACTGTGTGGAAGGCGACATGGCACAGAATCAAAATTGCACTCAGGACAGGCCAACCCAGTATGCACGTTCCAGCTAGACAAAATTCCCAAACCGGAAAAATCACTTATTGTCCACATCAAGGCTGCACGGAGATTGAATAGTTGCTTGTCATGTGAGTTATATGCCTCAACACCATTTGTCCATAGGTCGATCAATTCGTGTATCAACAGTTGCAGGTATACGTCTATATCATTTCCCAATGCTTTCTTGCCAGGAATGATCATGGAAAGCAAAAAAGAGCTCTGCTTCATGCACATCCAAGGTGGTAGATTGTATGGAATTAACACCATCGGTCAGATACTGTAACTTGTGCTCATGTTTCCGAAGGGATTGAAACCATCGGTTGCCAATGCAAGACGTACATTTCTAAGATCATTGGCAAAGTCTAGAAATTTCACATCAAATGCTTTCCACGCCTCCGAGTCTCGTGGGTGCCTTAACCTACCATCTAGATTTTCCTCAATCGCATGCCACCTCATGTGCTGAGCCATTTTTGATAACATATACATTCTTTACAACCGTGGTTTCAAAGGAAAGTATCTAAGAAAATAATATATTAAAAATTTAAAATACCGAATATTTAAATACTAAACAAGTAACACATCATAATCAATTGTATTAAGAATTTCAAATATCAAATATTTAGAGACGGAACAAGTAACACATTGTAATAATTTGTACCTGAGAATTTTGGCCAGTTTCTTCTTTTACTTTTTGCCCTTCGACTTATAGCGTGACGTCTTGCATCTCGTACAAATCTCTTTGTTTGCATCATCTCCCCAGTATAGCATACAGTCGCTTGGGCATGCATCTATCTTCTTATAGTTCAAGCCAAGCTTGTTAATAATCTTTTTTGCTTCGTAAAAAGATGGAGGGAATTCAGCTTGGGGGAAAGCATCTCCCAGTAATTCCAACAACATGGACATCGCCTTGTCAGTCATACCACACAAGCATTTGATATGATATAGCCTCACCAAGAATGACAATTTCGAATACTTTGTGCACCCAAAATAAAGAGGCTTGTCAGCTTCGGTCATGAGGTTAAAACATTCCCGAGCAGTTTCGTTTCTTAGAAACTCCGGTTGAGGCCCCTCTACTTCATTTTCGTTGGGATTTGGGCTTTCGTGAACACCAAAAGCATCACACACAGCATCATTCACGGCATCGGCTTCATCCACTCGAACTCCCATCCGTGAAACTACTGGAACTGACTCAGCACCCATATCTAGCCGTTCCCCATGTAGTTGCCAAAATACGTACTCTTGCGGAAAGGGCTTAAAGATTAAATGTTCTCTAACAATATCTTTGGGATGCCACTTCTTGAAATTACATTTAGGACATGGACACTGAATCTTACCATTTACGGTAGTATTGGAGAAAGCAAAACCCAAGAAATAGTTTAGACCAGCCAAGTATTGCGGAGTCGACCGGTGCAAGTTGATCCACGACTTATCCATCACTAATATTGCTCAAATTTCGTAAACATATGACATAGGAAGCTCAAAGAGAAGTTAAAATAAATTTTAGTTGAAGTGTTTTAGCTTATAAAGGAGGCTGCCAACGGAGGTGCAACGGTCAATTTTTTGTAGCGGTTACAAACCGATAGAAATTTCTAGCGGTTTTAATGGAAATTTTCATTTTCCAGCGATTAATAACCGCTAGAAATGCAATCTCCAACAGTTATAAAATTTCTAGCGGTTTGTAATCACTACAAATTCATTCCGCTGGTTAGGGAATTTGAATTTCGGTTGAATTTTCTATAACCGCTAGAAAATTTTTCCCCCATTCATTTTGTAGTGGTTTATTAACCGCTAGAAATGATAATATTTTTAAATATTAAATATTGCAAAAGTATTTTAAATATTGCATAATAAATTAATAACATTTTTAGTATAATGTATTAATTAACACGTGATATAAACAAAATTATTAACAAATTATAAATATTTATTAAATTAATAAGTAGTTATAGAAATATTTAATTTATAGAAATATTTTAATTAATTAACATGTTTAACGTGTTTAATAAATTTTAATGTTCATATAGTAATAAATTAATAAATATTTCAATATTAATTAATACTTTACATAAATAAAATTATAGAAATAAATAAATAAAGTAAACAAGTAAATATAAAATTTAAATAAATATCTAAATATAATATAAAATCATAAAATCAAAATTCTAATAAAATCCTATACAATGAAAGCAGGATAAATCATGGGTGAGGGGCAGAAGCAGCATCATCGTGATCGTCCTCTATTGGATCCTCCTGCTGGGGGTGGGCAGGCTGCTCAACGTGCTGGGACTGGACTGGCGGATGGGGAGGTAGGGGCAGGATTGGTGGCAGGCGTAGGTCGGGGATATCAGGAATCGAAATGTTTGGAGCCATACGGATCACCACATGACGCATAGCCGTAGCAGCTGCCAAGAGCTGGTCAAGCTGCGCTTGGAATTGAGCATCACGCTCCTGCAACTGACGATCACGCTCCTTGATCCCGGCCTCCACCCTGGCCTCGATGCTGGCCTCTAACTCTTGTCTGAGCTCCTCTTGCAACTCCTCTGAGGATGAGGAACCCGACCACTTTGCTCTCGTACTCGCCTGAGAGCTCCCGGCAGTATATAAAGGGCCAGCGCCACTTGAGCGGGGCAACCTAGTCAGTGTAGGTCCAAGTCCAAGCCCGCTAACTCGACCAGGGTGCTGCGGCTGGCCACGACCCGCTAAAAGTGAGGCAGTGGGATCCAAGGTAGACCCCTGAGACACACGCAACTCGGTATCGACCTGAGTCATCCGTGCCTACCAAAATTAATGTAAAGAAGTTAATTATAATAAAATGATATTTACATTGTGATATTAAATTAATATTTAATTTATTACTTACCGTTATCTCCTCAACCTCATCTGCTCACGCCCGTCTCGAGGTCTATACACCATCGGCCACATCTCGCCATAAGTGGTTGTGTATCCCCGCTCCTGCTGTATCTTTTCCCTCTGTAAATGAAATGAAAGAAATAATTAGTTACAAATTAAATACATATACATATTTAAAAATTTATTTCAAGTACTCACAATCTCGTCATAAGTGATCGTAAAGCTCCTGAATCCAGCCCTATGACGTATCGTCTGATGCTTGACACTCCCAGCATTTCTCCTAGAAAGAGCCTGAAGCAAAATGTAAAAAATTAAATTAAATTAGTCAAGTCGGATAAAAAATAAAGAAATTATAATTAATACATATTATCATACCATCTAGTCAGCCGTCATCCTAAAATAGACGTAACTGGACCAGTCTTGCTCCAGGACTCCACCAGGTACATCTGCCAGTATCTCCTGCAGGGGCCTTGCCCCGTCACCTTTCTTCTCCCTCCACAGGTCGGCCCTCCTGTTCTTACATGCCATCCCAAGCCTCTTGATCGTATCAACCCTCAACTCCTCCCCCAGAATAAATTTACTCTATGATTAAAATAATAAATTAACTAAATAACAAATTATAAATAAACAATTAAGCAATTTCAATAAAAATATTTAGTTTTTAACTGATTTAAAAATATTATAAATAAAATATAAATTATATCAATAACAAATAATAATTAAACAATTAAGTAATTTAAATGAAAAAATATTTTTACTCAACTAAATTTAAAATTATTATAAGTAATAAATTAATGAAATCAATAACAAATTATTTTCAAATAATAAAATAATTTAAATAAAAAAATATATATTCATTTAACTACTTTTAAAAATATTATAAATAACAAACAAATTAAATAAATAAAAAATTATAATCAAACAATTAAATTATTTGAAAACAAAATATATAATCATTTATTTAAATTAAAAAAATTATAAATAACAATTTTATATTACCTTCATCATTTCCTAACCTTGATGTTTCTTCTTTGAGGTGATCTTCTTCCAGTCTTGCATGTAGATGGGGAACAGCGTCTACTGCTGACCAAGTACAACTGGCCATCTTTCTTCATTGGTTGGCCCAACTCATTGAGCGGCACAGCCACTCATCCGCTCGTCATCATAGACAGCTCTCTGGCTGTCAGCCTCCTATAGGACCTGTTCCCCTCAGAGTCTGCAAAATTTAATTAAGAAATAAATTATATATTAATGAATTAATACAATTTCTATATAAATTAAATACTTATCAAACTTAAAAAAGTTAAATAAATACTTACCCACAAATTCCACCTCAAAACCGACCTGACGTCTGGGAGCAGGACGCTGCGCAGTCTGGGGATTCTCATTCCCTTGAACCTGCTCCTCCTCCTCCTCTTCGTCAGCAGCATCAGCATCAGCATCAGCATCAGCATCAGCATGGGGTTGTTCATCCCCAGTAAAATGAGCCTCCTCAGTCCGCTCGATATCATCCTGCTCCATAAAGTTGAGGATATCCTCCTCGCTGAGATCGTAGTCATGAATGCTGGGGAATGGCTCACAGCATTATGACGATCCTCACTGGGTCCAGCTCTCTCAGGATCAACTGGCTCCTTCCCTGGTCGATGACTCATCCTAATAACAACAAATAGTAATTATTTATAAATAAAATAAAAAGAAAGATTATTTATAAGCCAAAATATAATAAATTAAATAAAACATAAAAATAAAAATTATTTATAAATAAATTACTACTTCTACCTGAAAATAAGGATCTGCAACTGAATCAGAACTCGGATATATTTTGTGGAGAAAATTTAGCAGAGCTTCGCTTCCTGAACGACTGAAGAAGTGAAAGTGAAGGGGGGTATATATAGGCCGCGCATTTCTAGCGGTTCTAGGAATAACCGCTAGAAAAAGCTAGCGGTTCTCGACAAAACCGCTACAAATTGCTAACGGTTACACACCGCATTTAGGGCACCTTGGGAATTTACACCTTTTCTAGCGGTTTCTAGAATAACCACTAGAAATTTCTAGTGGTTTTTACAATAACCGCTAGAAAGTGCAATGGTCATATAAATCTCTTCGGGAAATTAAATATTTTTTAGCAGTTTAAGTGGAAACTGCTAGAAATTCTCAGATTCTAGCGGTTTGTTGGCCTGAACTGCTAGAAAATAAACGCTACAATTTTGGCGCCAAGTTCCCGCCAAAACCCGGGAAAGGTTCTAGCTATGAATTTCTAGCGGTTAGGTTATAACCGCTAGAAATGTGCGGGCCCCACCGTCTAAATGGTCAAAGCGTCGCTAATTTGTAGCGGTTTTTCTTAAAACCGCTAGAAAGGTCAAATTCTAGCGGTCTATTTTAATCGTTAGAAATGTTCCGCTGCTAACGTAACATTTTCTTGTAGTGTTATTGTTGAGTTCCTCATCATCACCACAAGCTGCCTTCCAACTTAATTCAAAGATTTCCAAGTGATTCAAAGTGAATGAGCCTTCTTTTTCAATCTCTAGTTTCAATTCAGATGAGGATGGAGTGTAGAAAGGAAAGTTGAAAGAATTCATCTGATTTTCCTCTATTATTCCCTACACCCCTACACCGCACGCGAAGGCAAGTTCTTTGATCTCATAAAATTTTATATCCCTTCTTGTTTTCTTATGTATATATGTGTTTCCAAGAAAATTGAAGTAGACTGATGCTTATCAGTCCATATAGTAGTTCGAGAGTCAATGGTGTTTAAATATAATAGAAATGGGATTAATCTAATTATGATTAACATAATAGAATTTAATTAAAATATACACAAATAATCGTATATAATCATGAAAAGGATAATATTTAAATAAAGAAAAAGCATTACTCCACAAGTTAATTAAATATTCATAAATAAACCACAGATAATTCAACAAAACAAAACGTTATTATAGTATAAATTTGATGGGCTGAAAAACAATGCCGTTTAGATTCAGGAAGAGGAGAAATTAAAACAATATGAAATCCAACCTAATCAATCCATCCAAAATACTTGATTCTACTGGTCCGGAGACTGGTTCATCAATTTACTAGTTTGACAGATTGACTTAGGTTGAATTTTAATTTAATACTCCTCCAATCCTTACTGTAAGATCTAATTAACTAATTTAAGTAAATTAAAGATGTTATTTAAGTTAGTTAATATGATATGTTTTTTTCTAAAATACCCTAAATGTCTTCTTAATTATTCCCTCCCTCCTTCTCCTACTTCATTATTGTTAAGGAAGTATAAATTGGGTGTATTTAAAAAAAATTAATAAATATATGAAATAAGTCTTATGTATAAAACTAAAATACTTTCCAATTAGATCCTATATCAAAGACCGGATGAGTACTATGATTAAATTAGAATATATGTATATATTCCTCCAAGACCATTTCATTGAGTGCTTTAGCTAAAAGCACCCATATGTAGCAAGATTTATTGTATGATAGGCCCGTACTGCTTCTTCCTAAGGGTGTAAGAACCATGCGACCCCCTGCAACAAGTTCCTCAGCACGGCACTTGAAAAACAATGAGAAGCCTGTTTGAAATTGATGGCAGTATGCGTTTTGGACTTCCAAGGGGCCCGCCTTTGTTATGCAAATATTGCCCCTATTGTTCTCTGCACCCTCCGGAGCCTATACAGGAATGAATTAAGAACAAAAAAGTTAAGGGGGACAGGTTGATGAATAATTCTTTTTCAAGAAATACAATTTTAATAATCATTATATATCGATATAAAATAATATTTTGAAAGTGAAAGTGAAAATAAAAAAAAAGTGAGGTTTAAAGACACTTTTAGTATGTGCATAAAAATATGTTATAATCTTAAATTCATATATGTGTCTATAATTACGTGAAAACACCAAAATGTCCTTACAACAAAAAAAAAAGTCATTCTCAATCTCCCACCAAAAACAGGCTTGAAGCCGGCCTCTAACATATCTTTGTTTAATGCTCTCTAGTGACTCTTGATGGGAAAAAAAAAAAAAAAAAGCCCTCTAATTGCCTTCCAAAATGTACAAACTTCCTAAATGGTTTTTTTATTTTTCTTTTGATCATTAGATTCTAAATAAAATCAGTGACATTTGGATATCTTATGACAATGAAAAGATACTGTTTTGAATTTTTTAATGATTTTTAAAAGAAAATAAATAAAAATGCATAATTTAAAGTATTTTCTTGAAAAATTTTCAAAGCTGCAGCATTTCATCATGGTAAGACATCAAAACGTCATTTCATTTCATTTAGAATCTAATAATAAAAAAACAATTGGGAATTAGGAAATTACAAGGAATGTTAAGGAGAGGCACATTAGAGTCCCCAAACATCCTTCAACACAAATTAAAGCATCTACCAGCCAGAAGTAATTAAAACCATAAACGAAGAAGCAATCAAAGACATGAACCAAGAAGTAACAGAAAATACAGAAACCATGGGAACCTGCTTGTCAAAATTAAAATCCTAATAAGAAGCGACAATAAAATCGTGATGAAATCATAAGGCGAGAACTGGCTACCATGCGCACCCTAGCTAATTGTTAGAGAGTAGAAACGGTTGGTGAAAATGAAACTAGAAATCAGAAATCACAATCAACAGAACCTTTGGAATCAAAATTAAAAAAAAAAAAAGAAAAGAAAAGAGCTGAGGAGGTGTCAATTAAGTAGTGGCCCTAAACTAGAAATCGCTTAGCTTAACTTGTAAAGGCTGAGAGGGTTGGTGAGAGGCTGAGAAGAGGATGAGATTGTTGGTGAGATGGAAGTAGAAAGCAAAGGGCAAAAAGGTCCAATAAGAATTGGCCTTAAATATAATATAATCCTCCAAAGTTCATGACGAGAAACGTTAAGGCATTCCATGCATGGGTTTTGATGGAACTGTTGGCTTTCATTTCATATTTGGAAACATCAATGCGAACCCAAACGGACAAAATTTGGAGTTCCAGTCCAATAATTTTACTAAATGGGGCATGAAAATATCTCAACTACCTACGGATTGAAAATCACACTCACTAACTAATTTATCCATATTGACAATAACCAAATTTTCAATAATCTTAGTACGTAGTTAGAAGAAGTAATCCCCTCCCTCTATTTATAAGGCACATGTGACTTATTTTATTAAAATAAAAAACCTTAAATATCATTAACACTATCTTAAAATTTAACAACTTTTAATTTTATCCCTGTTTAATTCCAAGAGAATAGGGAATGCAGAACAATAAATTAAAAATAAAATTGTACTTTAAGGACAACAAAATTATACACACTCTTTCTTCCCCTATAAATAGGACAAAAGGCACCGATTAATCTTGCAAATAGAGCGTGATTAAGTATACATACCTGAGAGAGCCAATGAGGACTGGAGGAGGAATGAACAAAATGCAATGAACAAGCAGGGAGAATTCTGCCATAGAAAGAACTTGCAACCCCAGTGATGTAGCATTGATCAATAATCCCACCTACCACTTGGCTACTTAGCTTTTGCTTGAAGCATTCAAGAGACTTCAAGATGCTGTTAAAATCGTTGCCTGGGAGGTCGTTCAAGAAGATGATGTATTCTGGAAATTCATGGTTTAGGTCTCTACATAGCATCTCCACAATTTCGATCAGTTCATAAGTCACAAAAAATGTGTTTGGTCCACAAGAACAACCCAAATCTGCAATTGCTAAGCTTCGAGGGAGCTTTTCTCTATAGAAGCTGGATATGGCTTCCTCTCTTATTGGCTTCACTAAAGAAAGCATGTTTTCCTGCCCATGGCAACTTTGTATGTAAGTTAAAAGATAAGATTTTTAGTACTTACGTATGTAGTACTATCTATGGTCCTTAATATAAAAACTAATTTGAGATCTTAATATTGGTCATATATATAAGACTTAAATTCACTTTGTCTCTCATATTTATCTATTTTTTTGCAAATAGTCCTTATAATAGTCACACATGTTAAATATTCCATCAAATAATAGTTCTAGCTAATACACATAATTAGTAAGGGTCTTTTAGGGAAAACAATACCTTTTTATTATAAATAACTAATGTAACTAGTTTTCTTAATATACTCAAATTAGTCAACTAGCTCTTATATTAAGGATCTAAGGTAGGAGTATATTTGTGAATTTTATTACACCTTCATGTAAACATATATGTATACAGTTGGAATGTTACAGAAACGGTCTTTTTGACTGCATTTAGAGCCTCAAATGCGCCTTCCTCTAATATCTTTCATAATACTCCTACCTCTCAAATGTTTTTTTTTCCCTTTTTCCTTCTGTTTTGATATCTTGTAGGTATAAAATAATACAGTTCTGAATTTTTCTTATGATTTTACAAAGGAAAAAATATTCCAAAATTTCTTGCCCATATGTAATATATCAAAATATCACTCATTTTATATAAAATCTAACCAACAAAAGGGGGGGAAAAAAAGCATTTGGAAAGTTGGCGTTTAGTTACAAAAGACATTAAAAACTATTAGAAGGAGGCACATTATTAGAAGCTCATCCAAACCGGATTTGATGATGAAGCAAGATATAATGTAGGTACCTGTATTAAGGAATTGTTAGCATAACTTGTTTCGCCGGTGCCAGCATTCACGTGGAACACTCGAGCCATGTCCATTCTGCGATTTATGCTGTTTTTTTTTTTTTGGACCGGATTTATGCTGTGTTACAACTATGTTGTTCCTGACTCACTGTTAGCTTGATCGTAAACCAAATTCTCTGTATGGCGGCTAGAAAAGTTTAGGGCTAGAGACTGGAGAATAGTGACTAGTAATAGGGAAGAAAGTGACTCTAATTGCCTCTTGCTACTTCCTACTGCGAATAGATTGATTCCCCCCTTGTGGCAGATCGAAGCATTAAATAGACTCTTTCTGTGGCTCTTGTTCATACACGAAGGATTGCGGAATCCCCCAAATGAGAAAAATAAAAAATGTAATATATGTTTGGTTGGGTGGGGTGGGGAGTCTCACAGGCTGTACACTCTCTTTCTTCTTTTGGCATATTGTTATATTTACTATGTAAAGTACTTTATGTCAAGCATCTAGCTTCTTAAAAAAAACAAAGAAAGAAAGAAAGAGTGGTTCTGTATATTTGGTCATTAAGCGAAGCATTTATTTTTTTCAATGTCTGAAAAAAAAACAAATACGATATTCAGCAATAAATTAAATTCTTACTTAATTTGTATATTTTAATTGTATGGAGATTTTAATTAAAATGGCCTGGTCGGCCTTGTCAAGGATAAACCCAGACTCAATGTCCAACATTTAAGATTGCTCATCTTCTAATTTTCTATGAGTGAGAGGACTTTTTTTTATAAAAAAAATTCATACTTTCAAATGGGAATAAATTTATAAAGGGTTAATATAATTTTTGGTCTTTCAAATTTACTTTCATTTTGGTTTTAGTCTTTCAAGTTTTAAACTATAAGTTTTGATCTATAAAGGGGCAAAATAGTCCATATTTTTATTAGATTATAGGGACTAATATTTTAAATGAAAAGGAATTTGAGGGATCAAGACTTATAGTTTGAAATTGGAGGGACTAAAACCAAGATGAGAACAAAGTTAAAAGA